TGACCTATGTGTGAAATGTTTTCTGTAGGCATATTCTACCGTTGGAACTCTTGATTACATGGCACCGGAGGTTTTGTTGAAAAAAGGATATGGAATTGAATGTGATTGGTGGTCATTGGGGGCAATCCTGTATGAGATGCTTGTTGGGTATCCTCCCTTCTGTTCAGAACATCCAAGAATGACAGCACGCAAGGTATTTTAACTCTTCTGTTTGTTGTTAGAATGAAAATAAGGGACAATCGGGGCCTCTAAATTGATCTCCGAATTGGATTCAGGCAGAGCTTTGTAAACCAAGATTCCAAAAGGAATTCTTTTTCAGTGCAATCGGAAAAGATTGGAATTGAAATGGTTGTTTTTGTAGACTTCAGTTTCTTCAGAAGGAATGTTTTCAAAATTGTGCTTCAGCATCTTGTTAAGATTTACAAAATATACTCATTTTTCGGGTTATATCATATTTGTTTCTGTTGTATCAGATAATCAGTTGGAGAACATGCTTGAAATTCCCAGACGAACCAAAAGTATCAGATGAGGCTAAGGATCTGATCTGTCGTTTATTGTGCGATGTTGAATCAAGATTGGGGACCGGAGGAGTGGAAGAAATAAAGGTGAATATCTACTAATGAAGTAGTGCCCGTGCAGGAACTATCTGCAGAAATATGCTCCTTAATTCTAGATTTTTTGTTTCACTTAATGGAATGCATACAGTTTTCATCTATCATTGATGAAATTACTGTACTTTGTGTGCAAAGATCTATTGTGAGTGGTTATGCTGCTGCATCCATGTTTGTGTCTTCATACTAATATTTGTCACTGTGTTTTCAGGCACATCCTTGGTTCAAAGGAGTCAACTGGGACATGCTTTATGAAATGGAGGCTGCCTATAAACCTATTGTTACTGGAGAGTTGGATACTCAAAATTTTGAGAAGTTCCCTGAGGTGAGTACTTTTGTAGACCCCAAGGGGTTTTACCCTGTGCGCACCCAAAAGGTAGCGGCGGCGGGTTTCCCTTGACATAAAAAAAAATTAAAAAATTTGGGCATTTCTGTGTACCATTGAATGTCGGTGGACTCCTTTTGGCTTCTTATCAAATCATGCATTTTCATTCCAACTCAGTACACCATTTAATCTTGGCATTCTGCAATAGTAAAATTTCCAATTTTCTGCATCTCAGTTTTTCCATGTGTTACTATATTACGATGCTTCTCTTGTTTTTGAAAACCATGCTTGCTTTGTTCTTTGACTGTGCTAATTTTTCATTTTATATTATAGGTAGAAGATCCTTCATCAACAACACCAAGAGTTGGACCCTGGCGAAAGGTAACGATTACTTCTTGACAGTGCATACTTCAACCCTCCTACCAATCTCAGAAAAAAAATGAACATTTCGCCAATTGGGCGAGAATATAAAACAAGTACTGTAAACATGATTGAAGTAGTGATGCACTTAAATATATAAGAAATAATTTGTATATATTTTGATTTGTTCCATCATGTAGATGCTGACATCAAAAGATTCCAATTTTATTGGATTTACTTTCAAGAAATCAGATATCCTCAAATCAGCTGAAACTTCAGGTGTGCTGCTGCTGCTTTTAAATCTTCAATTTTTTGCAGCATCTTTCTATTGTACGGAAGGGGTCTGAAGTTACTTTGACATGAATCATGATGTAGAAATACACTTTCCACACACTTTTTCTGGCTCACACCGTATCTAAGAAGATTTAAGTATATAGAAGCACGCGTTGGTGCAGTATTCTTCTCCACCCTTTGAATTCTTGCTAGTTTTGGCAAAAACATTTGAGTATTTATTTGCTAGGACGTGAGGCATTATTGTGGATCTGTTGGAAAAGGGTACCCTGAAGAGAAGGGTGAATGAGATCATAGAAAATTGAACATCCCTTTCTGTTGCTCATTTTTATGTTATATATCTGCCTCTGAATGCAAACACATGTCTTATTTGTGCAGGCATAGATATGAGTTCTAATGGACATTCAAAGCCTCCCTCATTAGTGTCCTTATTCGGTATGGTAACTTTTCTTGCATTGTACATGTTTATTGATTTTCACAACGTTAGATTAGATTTGAACCACGAAAAGCATGCTGTTAAACCTTAGTTTTTCTAGATCTTTGGTCTAGATAGTTATCGATTTTTGAACAAACATGAATCCAAGGACTGATTTGAGGACTATCTCCGAGGAACACATAGAGGGGCACTATCATATCTTATTTTAGGTTGATCACGATGCTTCCATTTCTCCCAAATAAGTTTGTGCACATTACACATCTTTACATTATATCAGTCATACGGCTTCTCATCGTGTTCCTTGACTTCTTGTACTAACCATCTCAAACGAGTTCCCTTTTTTTGTTTTGGTGCATGTATGTGTAACCAAATGGCAGAAAAACACATCTTTGTTAAGAATATCTTTGTAGAAAATGACTTCCCTCGTACCAAACACACCCATTGATGATTTCGCGTTATTTATTGCAGGTCGAATAGACTTGCAAGATACAATAGAAGAGAACCAGAAAGAAGAACAACATATTCTATGAGTTCAATTGCTTGTTCATTTTGACAAAGTAACGGCAAATTTCTTTTGTACAAAAAGAGAATAAACTTATAAGCTTTGAGTTCTGCATAATTTTGAGTTTTTCCCTTTTCCACTTTTGGTCTTATTCCCATCTGATTAATGTAACAGTAATTCTTAATGTACATACACTATAACATATTCAATCCTTTTTTCTTCTTCCATTTTTCTATCAGATTATATTAATATGGAATTATCAGTTTTGCTAATACTACAATTATGATATTAAGAGCCTATTTGTTGTCTTTTTAGTTGATAACTATCAAGTATTGAAAAACACTTTTAAGTGCTAAATTAAATTTTATAAGTAAGCATTAACCTGTTTAGATAGAAGTATTGAAACTAATAATATCGACATATACTTTTTTGAGCAACTTTAACATATAACAAACATTAAAATCATATTTGTATGTTATAGCTATAGTTTGCATAATTACGCTCCATAACAAATTTTATGTTTGCTTTGGAGCTTTTGATTTGTATAATTTGCTAGATACATCAATTTTATACAAATTGTTCAGTTTTGTATAAATTCATTTATACATTGTAATTTGTATAATAAGATTTGTATTTATATAATTATAAGTGTATAGGACGAAAATATATATATTTGTATTTGTATATACACTTTTCTTTCGCTTTATACAAACACAAATTCATTTTATACATTTGTATACCGAATGGGTAATTGTATATCGAATCAGATGACAAAAAAAGGGGATGTTTGCTGCGAATTACATATAAAATAAATTATGGCTATAACATTTAATTTGAATTAATAATTTATTATTTCATACAATTTTCCCTACTTTCTTTTTATGTTAAAATAATAGAAATGTTCTTCAAATTATTTATGAAAAAACATATAATGAAAAGTATTTAACGGTGAATGACGAAACTAGAATAGCTAATAAATAGTTACGTATAAAGAATTATATTTTGGAAATTACAAAAGATAAATCCTTTTGATTAAGTCATTGACTGATTTTGAGTTATAAAATATCTATAGAACACGTAGATAAACCAACTACTCCATTTTTCAAGCTTAAACAAATAAAAATGAATCAAATTCTTTTCTTTAAAAGAAGTCAAAAAGGAGGAGAAAATATCTAACTCAAAAAGGAGGGAAAAAATAATATCTATGTTGTAAAATGAATGATATTTATGGAGCCATTCAACAAACAACAGCTGATATTATTCTTAAGATAGAAAAATATCCTTGTCCTTCCTTTCACATCTTGCCTGACATTGACTCATTGAATCAATAATCATACAATTCTAACTTCTTCTTTTTTCTTTTATCTTAATACTTAAGGCAATTTATTCGAATAATATCATCGCATTATCTAGAAATTTAATGGAAATAATTAAAATTATTATTGATGAAATAAGTCTAAGTGTTGCTAACTAAATTGTCTCTTCATCTCCATAAAATAAGAATAAGGTAAGCGTAAATTTATTTTTATTGCTGACTTAATTATAAATTTATTAATATCAGCCTACACTTTAAAAAGTTGCTAAATTAATATCAAACCTACCTATGTTAAATACTATATAACATATATACATAGCAGACTATATATTATGTTTTTTAAAATTAAAATATTTGAGGTAGGGTGGGCCAAAGAGAGAAAATAAAGAAGAAACAAATCTTGGTGAGATTTGAATTTATATGTACCACTGCAAAGTGAAGTTATAATAACTATTAGATTAACAATTTAGTCTGTGTAATTGTTTTTTATAAGTAGCTTTAATTAATTAATTATTAAACATGTCTATACCTTTCTTAATTTAAGCATTGAACGTGGATTGCGATTTTACTAAACAATCAAAAGACTTTTTTAATATGCGTAATTCTTGACATATAAAGTTACATAATCAATAATTTTGATTCAAACGACATGGATATATATATTTCTATTTTCTTCAGACTTCATGTATATAACTATTCTAAGTATATTATTATATATTAAAAAGTTTGCTAATATAAATAAATACAAACAATTGATAGTAGTGTATTTTGAAAGCAACAAATCATATAATTTATAATTTCAAATCTCAGGTCCACCGCTAGCTATAAGATAAGGAAAAGGACTATTTAAGTAGTTAGTTATAAACACTATAGGGTAAATAAATGTTGTTGTTTTTTGGTAGCAGAAAACAAAACAAATCACATGGTCAAAAGATAGAAATTGTAACAAGATAATTGAACATACTAAATTTCAATCTTTTAAAATTAATAATAATAAAATAATAATTTCACTCCAATAAAAATATCGAACACCGAGATGTTTTGTTGGTAATAGGCAATTTTGGAATTGAATGAAAACAAAAGATATTTTGTGATGGACCGGATATTTTTGTAGCAGTAGTAAATGGGGTTTGAGAAAATATCTGTGTAAACTTAGAGTTGACGTGTTCACTTGACACATGGAAAAAGCGGTGACAGCTGAGCCTCTATTTCTACCAAAAGTTCCTCCCTTTTCTTCCTCTCAAATTCATTCGCTTCTCACAATATAAATTTCCAATTTTTTCATATAATAAATTATACTCTAACCTATAATTTTTTTTTGGAAGATAAAATAATGGAAACTCTATCGGATTCGAAAGGAAAAACTTCTACTAAGAATTTGGGTCATAAGATTGAAGAATTTTTGACTATGGAGGTATATATATATATATATATAGTCTGTTTAATCATATATCTGTATGAAAGTGTTTTTTTTTTTTTTTTTTTAGGTTTTCTGTGTTTTATGAACTGTATATATATATATATTGTGAACAATTCTGGTAAGTTGATGGTTTATGTAGTTTTTAGTTGGATCAATTTTTTTTTTCTAGCATTTTTTGGGGGTAAATCTGTGTTTTGATTTATTTTTTTCTTAGTTATACATAAAGATGAGTTAGCTAAGTAATTTTAAGATGTTTGTACTAGGACTTAGATTATGCATGTTCAACAGTTAGAATTTATTTATAGGCTAAACATGGTAATTACACAGTTACACCTAACTAAACAGTTATCCTTAAGAATCAACAATTCAAAATGAAAGTGCATATGCATCCAGGGTGTGGCCTAGTGGTCGATGAAGTTGGCTGAGCATCACGAGGCCTCAAGTTCAAATCTTAGTAGTAACAGAGTTACCTGGTACCCGATGGTGGCAGGTATCCCACTGAAGGTGCAAATCACTTAACCAGGGTTAATTGTTAAAAAGTGTATACACAAGAAAATTGTCTTACATTCATGTAAGAGATTTTTACATATGCTAAACACGAGTATATTGAATTGAGGAATGAGGATAAGAACCAAAGAATTTGGCCTTGCCTCTCTCCACCTTCCGTAAAAAATCCACCAAATTCAAAGTTAGGCCTAAGAAACGATGCAGGGTAAGGTTGCGTAAAATAGACCCTTGTGGTCCAGTCCTTTCCTATACAAGCGCATAGTGGTAGGTTAGTGCACCGATATTTCCTCCTTTTTTTTTAACCTATAAATGCATTTCTTGTGTGGTTGCCTTGTTTTTTTGTTTTCTTGTTGATGATGATATTATTATGTTCTTATTGTGCATTGTGACTGAGAGTGTGAATTTGTTGAAATAATGTGAAGCATATGCTTCTCCAACCCCCCCTAATTATCATGTTTTATGTGTCTTTTTTATGCTAATTGCATGGTTACCTTTATGTGATCATTCAAAATAAGGTGATGATGTTATGAAATGAGATTTCATGTAATGATCCGAATTTATTTGGTACTGAAGTGTAGTTGTTGTATTCAAAATAAGGATATCCATTGCCCCATCCCTCGTTCTCCAGGTTCTAAGGAAATAACTTTAGTGTATTGATAGTAGAAGCCAGAAGGCAATGTTTCTAAATTAACAGGCAAAGTAGGGTTGGAAAATGTGGTTCATTTAGAATTCAGTTTCTCATTAAGAAAATCCCATCTCAGGATTCTCGACCAAAGAGCGTGGAATGGACTGACGAGAAGCATAGTTTGTATCTCAAGTCTATGGAAGCATCATTTGTCAACCACTTATATGGTTCCTTAGACGTAGTTGGTCGGCATTCCCAAAATGATGGCTTGTCAAGGCATAAATTCTCAAGGCAAAAGCATGCCAATCCTTCAGGCCAGGTTTGATTCGATTCGACTGAACGTTACCCTGTTATATAATTGGCTTTTTCGTCCTCACTCAGAATCTGATTTCGTCCCTTCCATTTATACCTCTTTTCGTATCACAGTATAAGGTGTTTCAAGATGGTTGTTGGACCAAAATTGACTTCAAGAAAGACGAGCCTCAGTTAAATAAAACAAACGAATCCGCTGCTGTATTGGCAAACCCTTGGATTAAGCATTACAAATCTACAGGCAGACATCAAATGAGAGTAATTTCAGATCTACAGGGGAACACTACCTTAGTGAAACAGAATCAATCTCCCGTATCTGACTTCGGTTTGTGCCGTAAAGATTATGTTACAGGTAACTGAGATTTTCAATCAGCACGTGTTAATAATTCTCCGATCTCTATATCAAGTCATTAACAATATTCTTGTAACATTTCAGAGGTGATGGATCAAAACTTTATCGATGAAGATCTTGAAGGAGGACAGTCTAGCAGCAGGGAGCACAGCACAAAACGGACAAAAATTCAGTTAGATGCCGGTACAAGCAGTGATCAAGTAATGAGTTGGACCAGCTAATTTGCAGCACTAAATTACTCTGTTGGCACACATTAGATTGTCGACTAACCATACTTTAAATGTATCATCCAGGTAGTTCCATTTTGCACATCCTCAATGACTGATAATCTTAAGGATCTTCTTGAGTCGACGGAGTAAGTCTTTGGCTTTCAGCGATGACTATGATGACACTAACCTCTTTAACCAAGAACGACAAATGGAATGTAAAAACAGCAGGTGGGAACACGTCGCGTTTCAAACTATTGCTATAGGTTGATCAAGATTTTGCTACAGTTTTGCCCGGAACTAGTCATGGTTTTTTATCTCTTTATTTATCTGTATGTTGGAAATTCGAGTAGCCATCGAACCTCTAATCCTTGTACAGATTTGGGGAAAATGTTGTCAAAAAATGCTTGCTGTATCTTACATGCCTTTCCTGATTTATTCATTTACCATCGACATATTTAATAGTTAGTTGAGTGAACTCTTAAATAAGTAGTAACTATAAATTGTCAATTTTTTCGAGTGTTAGCCATCAAAAATTCGGTTGGAAATATACTATCATATCATGAATTGACATTATTATATTGCAATAGACTTTTGAAAGTTATGAGCTAAAAACATAGTGTCAATATTATCGATGGTTTGCCAATGGAAATTTTTGTAAACATTACCACAAAATACAGTTAAAACTGTAAACAATGGCATGAAGTTCAATTTATATTACCTAAAATTTACAGGAGCAATTCAAACTTCATTAAGTTTAATTTTCAAGCTAACGGATAAATACGTTGTATAAAGCTTCAGAATCTACTACTATAATTGATGTACCAATTCAAATTATTCTTATGCCTCGATGTATTACTATTACGACATATAAATAAATAAAATGTATATAAATGTTTAAGTATAAGGTTTTAAGTGACAAATATTAAGGGAAACTTAGGTAAATGTATGCTTCGGCTCTTTAGTTTATCAATATACACGACGTATATGTTATAGATATGTATAGGAATGTACAATATATGTATAACTAGTATAAAATATATATGACTACCTATCTAGTATCCACTATATACATATTTTATAAACTAGATGTCCGAATGATATTTGACTATAAGTCTTCTTTTTATAAATCAAGTGGATAATAGATACATATTTTGAAACCCAAGCGAACCCACAACTGCTATCTTATGTGGACGGAGTTAATTGACCTTTTTGCAATAACTTGCAATTTACATTTGTGTAGGCAAATCTAATGCAACGATCTTGACTGAAAAAACTTTGGCTAGAGAAATCAATTCCTATCTTCCCTCCTAAAATATCACATGTTGCAATAACTCAATCTCCGAGTCTTAGGACACCAAAAATAGAGCGGGTAATGAAAAATCTCCAAAAATCACAGGTGGAGGGGAAGACTTTCATTGCGTCACGGACAAGTATAAATAAACAAATAAAAAACTACTGCCTTCTTCATCTCTCCGCTTAAATTTCGCTATTCCATTATTTCCAGGTACGTATTCATCTTCAATTAGGGTTCCGTTATCAATTCGAATTTCAATTTCCTTTTTTCCCCCAATTTTTGTTTTTGCTCTGTTCAATTATAATTTATTTTTCACAGAAGGTAAAAAATTCATTCATCATCATCATCATCAGCGATTTCAGTACTTTTTCCCCCTACTGGGTCTGCATTCAATTGTAGTTTCACGAAAGAAGGAAGGAAAAAAGAGAAACTTTTGAATTGTTTGTAAATTTTTTTCTGCAATGCCGTCGTTTGTTTCAACATCAAAGGCGATTAGGCATTTAGTTACGCATCGGAATGTGTTGAAACGGAGGTTGGGGATTGATAATTATGGTTGGGGATTAGGAAATCATGTTCAAGTTCGATGCTTGAGTGGCATTGTTGGTGTTCCTTCAGTTTCTCCTGGTTGTGATGCGGGTAGCAAGCTGATTAAGCCCTCGCCGTCTGGAGAAGTTTATAGAATTGGGCCTGTAATTCAAAGCAGAGGATTTTTGGGCTGTGGTGATGGGGAAGAGGGGAGTATGTTAACCAAAATACATGAGGAGAAGCGTGTCTTGGGGTAAGTCCTTAATTACCATTTACTGTTTTTATGATACCGAAAATATTTTCATGTACTTTTGTTTCTTATCATGAGCAAAATCCAGGTTACTTGCGTGATCTTTACATTGTAAAATTGTGGTGAACATTGTGAAAGTGACGAATATGTTATTCATGTCAGACACCAAATCAAGAAGTTACTTTAGGGTGTTTGAGTTTTTTTTTAGAAGGTAACATATTCCTGTCATCCTGTGTGTATATAGACATCAGCACATAAATTGCACTAGTAACCAAAATGGAGTGACTACGTGAGATTCCCAAAAAAGAAATAGGCAAATAAACTACACAAAACTACTTTGCTCATCTTACAAGGAACCTTATATATCTATGATTGCCTCAGAATCATCTATATATTCAGATTTATACATAAAACTAAAGAGAAGAATACAATTCATCTTAAGCTTTTGTAAATTGCTACTTGTATCTTAAAAATACTTTGAGTTCCTCTACCTCCATATTCTCCACCAAATAATTGCAAGGACAATTTTCCATTCGTCTTTGCTACTGTTGCAGTTTTCACCTTTCTAGCATGCTATAACTTCAGGAGTTCTTCCTGACATTGCCAAACTAGAACCTCTGAGATTGATGAACAAATCCAATAAATGTCTTGTAATTCTGCAATGTAAAAACATATGGCTTATTGTCTCTGCTTCTTGCCCAATCATCGTCTCATCCAGTGTAAGAGTTGATTGAGGATGCACTTCATAGAAGAAATAACATGTTTTTACTCTTCAAACTTTTTAAGGGCTAAAATAGTAAAACTGTTGGTGATCACTCTTTGGCCTTTGCTGGGAAATTTTGCTTGAGCTATAAGACAAAGGATATACCTTCTGTACTTCCACTTCTACTTACTAAGTTAAGCACAAGAAAACCTATGCAATTTAGCAGTAAAATTTTCAGTCCAAGTTGATAACTGATTCTGCATGCTCAATCTCTTTTTGTTTTGAACTTTGCAAACAAACTGAGTTTAATTTTCATTTACTTGGGATACATGCTGAATACTCCTGTAAGGTAATTCAACCCCCAACTGCTATGAGGAATATTGTTCACCTTACCGACTAACTTGTATTGTTTTTATTAGATACTCTCCAGAGCAGTTATATGCTGTGGTTGCTGCTGTTGACTTGTATGAAGATTTCCTCCCCTGGTGTCAAAGATCAGAGATCATAAAACGCCATCCAGATGGATCTTTTGATGCTGAGCTAGAAATTGGCTTCAAATTTCTCGTTGAGAGTTATGTGTCTCATGTGGAACTAAACAAACCAAAATATATAAAGGTAGCATTGGTTATATATCTATAGTATTTATTAACTTTTACCTATAAAAAATATAGTATTTATTAATTTTTTAAATTTCTTTCAATTAAGCGTATCAAAATTTTTGTTCAATTTAATTTATGTTTTTGTAAAATGTTTCAGTTACTGTTTTTCTTACAATAATTACTCTATATGAGTGCTGTGAATTGATATGTCCTGAATCTTAGTAAGATCAATGGTAACTCGTTTTTTGAGCCCTTTGCAAAATCGTGCAATTACTAAAGTGTAGTGTACCATTTGAGAATTAGTTAGTTGTCAGATATCCTTCTAATTGAATCTGAGTGTCTATTGAAAAGCACACATAAAATGATGGCATTGGATGTTTCTTGAGAAGTTGGACCAGGATTGGAAAGAGTCTAAAAGCTAACTATTTTACAGCTTCATCCACTCTCTCTTTTCAAACAATTACAGCTTCTTCCGATTCTTTTTCTGGGATAAGCACTATGTAACAACCATAATTTCCATAAAAAGGAATATTTCTCATTCATATTTTAGATGAGAAAGGAAGTTGTCTCAAACAACTTACGATATTTTTTATTTAATGCGGATCTAGTGAAAAAAACCAAGCATAAATAGCAGAATATCCATGTAGGGGACTCCAACTAGTTAGGTCAAGGTTTAGGCGTTCTTTGTAAGCTTACATTAGGCCTGTATCTAACAGGGTTTTTTTATTTTGGTTGTAGATGTATATTAGTGAAGGTTACCCAGTGGAGGGATATCTACGAGGTTTAGAGAACCTTAATCTGCCTTAAAAGACACGTCCAATCGTAGGAATAGACAAGTCTCACTCTTTCCCTTAATAGGAATCCAAAAGTGGAGATCAACCTACCTATCGAATGATTCTCCCTTTGGTCGAGTTAGCCCACGACTCTCCCTATTGATGATAGGAATTTTAAGTAATGTGGTTGAAGGTCACGATGATTTTTGACTTGGTCCATACTTTTTTTTTTGGTTCATGGATGAAAAGTTACTATCCTCTATTGTTTATATCTTAAATAAGTCAATTTAAACATACTTGATGTGTCTATTAGATTCCAAAGCTTTACGATATATGTATTATTAATGAGAGGCCCTTCTTCTCATCAGATGATTTTGGGTGCTTTTACCTCTATGACCATTCTGAAATATCTGAATTTACCTTCTATCACACATAATTTTTTCATTGTTGCAGACAACTGCTACTGATACTGGCCTTTTTGATCATTTGATTAACATCTGGGAGTTCAACCCAGGACCAATTCCAGGATCTTGTAACCTTAACTTTTTGGTAGATTTTAAGTTCCAATCTCCGTTATATCGACAGGTAATTTTTCCATTTTTAATATAGTAAGTTTTTAATACCATGTGAGTAAGAATATCTTGAAGATGCTAATTACACTGATGCAAACTTTTGGGGTTTGCTAGACGGAGGTACTCTAGATCTTTAGCTTATTCTATCGAGGTAGATCTGCCTTCCCTGCACTTCAGAGTTGTTCTTCTGTTAATTGTTTACATATGCTTGATGTATTGTGGAATCAAACCATAAGAGTCTGGTTGAAAAATAACAGTTGGTTGTTGTACTATTTTGAATACAATTGAAGAAATCACATTTCAGTTTTCACACTCTTTTGTTTCTATGTGAAAATCATCCACTAAAAGCTTCTATCGATTAACCTCCTATAATTATATTTCACAGCTTGTGACTCATCTATTGCTACTACAGTAGCAGAATTGCAGCCTGGTGTACGAAGCATTCTGCATTCACACAGGGTTGGGGAAGGGCTGCACCCTAAGGAGGTGTAATGTAGGCAACCTACCCTGATGCAAGCATCTTTATCTGATTCCACAACTTGAAACTGTGACTTATAGCTGTTCTAGTTCTGTTCTCCCTCGGTTGCAAGTCCATTTCAAATTCAAAAGCCCTAAGCCCATACTTTACCTTCCTGTCCAGAACTAGAACAACTTCCTCAGCCTCACACCAAACAACACTCGGGTTGATCCTTCTTTCTATTCTCCTTCCACTCTTGCCTTGCCGCTATTGTTGGTGGGTGAATAGCTATTAGTGCCTTTCTAAGTAGATTTACTGCTTTACCGCTTGACTTGCCTATCTCTGTTAACCCTTTGCATGAGTCTCCATGCTATTGAATCAGAAGCAAAGAGTAGAAATGAAAGTAGCTTTTAGAAAGGTAACTGTATGCGTATCCAGTGTGGCACTTGACTTTCAGGAAGATAAGTTGGATATTGCTAAATGGAGTAAACTGCAAGAAATTGAAATCCCAATTGAATTGACAGATGCCTTCTTTAAGAAATAAGGCACTAGGTGTAGGAGAAAGGACAACATGCCCCTAATCAAATTGAAGGCGAAACTGTTATATTCAGGCACGGAATCCACCGTGAGTTAAACCATAGGGCCGATGCACATCTCATCAGGAATATGATATCAGGAATAGTGGTATATTCAAGCAAGAGTTCTTGTTCACTATTATAACAAAGGTTCTTTCTCGCCTAAGGAGTCGTAGCAGTTATAATAGTAGAACCCCAACATCGTGTCTTTTATCCTAAAGAGGTGATCTATCTGGCTTCAATTTCCTCATGTTTTGGGGTGGCTAAGCCATTTTCAGTTTTCTTGATGGTACAAGGCAGATGCATCCCTCCTTTTTCTCTCCAGCTGTTTGTCCCATTCTTTCTTCTGAGAGTGAATTTTAAGAAAATCTTGCTCTTGTTATAGTAAATTGGATGATATTCTAAACTAATTATCAGATCTTTTAATTCTTGTTTCAAATATTCATGATAAATGAAGCCAGTTCTCTCCTCCAACATGGTAACCTGAGCTACCTAGATAGTTATTGTACTTTATAAATACTCCTTCATTTTGGTTTTTTTTTCCTATTGGTTATCAAAAATAAAAGTTCAACTGTTTAGGCTGGATATGGGATTTGGTTAACTAGAGGCACCTCAACAAAGAGAAATGAGAATGTTGAATTTACTATGAAGTTGATTTTTCTCTGCTGTAATTTCTGTTAAAGAAAAATTGTCGGGAAGTTTCATAAACCTTATTTTTATCTTTTCCTTTTCCTTTTTCAGTTGATTGATTAAGTTGTATCATCTTAACTTAGTTAAAGGCATTGGTGCAATACTCCTTCGCAGGTAGCAAACATGTTCTTTAAGGAGGTGGTCTCTAAACTAGTTGGTTCTTTCCATGATCGTTGCCGTTTGATATATGGACCAGGGGTTCCTATTCGTGAGGATACATATCAACAGAGGTTATGAAGATTGGTGTTTGGTTGTGATGAAATGAAGCATGGGCCAGTTCAATTTTCCGAGTACCAGTTGGTCCAACTGCATTCTAATTCTTGAGTTAATTCAAAACTTGGGAAGGAGCTGATTCAGCCTCCCTGGTATTCCCAATTTCTTAAACTTACTGGGTTGTTTCTTTTTTGTTTTTGGCGGGCGGGATGAGGGTTGGGGTTTGGTGGTGGTGGATACCTTTGTAACATTTAAGGTTACCATTTTGTTTTTACGTACAATGATACTTGTTCATTGAATTTACATTATAGGTATAGGAATGACATTAATCGATGTAATTTGCAGTTATGCACTCTACTTCTTTTATGGAATTTAATCGTTGGGCCTAGCTGGTAAACTTACAACACTTACATTTCCAGTCGAGTGAGCTCTCTTCTTGTAATTCAAAAGTCATATATCCCATAGTTGTTACATTTTATGGTTGCGAAAATTGCTTGTTAAATCTACAGAGTATTTTCTGGGCACTTTAAATATAGGTTTCTAACTGTGAATTGAATTTAGTTTGTGTACTTAAGAGCATGTATTGGAACCCAATGTTAAGTATTCTGAAATCCTTATTGATATGATCCTCATACTCTCAGTTCCCTAGGAGATGCCTCCACACCATAACTAGATAATGCAATAACTCTCTCTAATGTTGTGTTGAGAGTCTCTAGTTATAAACTCTTGAAAACTTTAGTGTAAGGTACATTAACTTGGAAATACAAATGATTATGATTGGGTAACTCATGGTCTTTGAAAGTTTGTTGCTATTTTGAATCTACCTAACTGACTCGTTGAGAACACTAGATGATTTCTTTCCATCTGTTTAACTTTTGGGAGACAGAGTCACTTGGTGTACCTGTGCTAGTAGGATGTAGCACATACCCGGTAGCATTAGTCGAGGTGTGCAGAAACACCACTCTTATGAAAAAAAGGTTGTTTTGAACATGAAATTTCGATTGGAGTGAGTTATTACACTTGGTCCTTGCATATCCATGATTTTGATGCACAAATTCATGAATATGACAAAAAGTTAAAGGTAGGTTGAATCAGAGGAAGTGTTATGTATGTAAATATCTATGTAGATGAGTCTCAGAATAATCTGTTCTTTCACTTTCATCTTTCTACAATTATGCAGCAAAAAATGGTCCATACATTCACAAAGTAAGTCACAAACCAAATTCAAGACAGTTTCATTCACATAACTGAACTTAGTGGGAATGAAGGAGCTGTCAAACTCCAAAATAACTAATCATTGATTTGCTTACATTTTACAACAACCTTAGAGATTTTTCTTATTTTTTTTGTTTCCTATAATATCCATGTTACCAAGAACACTATCCATTTCAATAATTCATTCACTTTCAAAGTTCCCTCCAGCTGGAAATTGATTGCAAAATAAAAAAAAGTATGTTGTGTGGCCCGTAAATTATGAAAATCTCATTGGTCAAAGTGGACTTCATGGGATACTCATATCAATTAGATTTTCATTTCAACCACAAAATACTCCTTTTTTTTTTAAATTTATGTTGTACACTAATGATAACATCGAAGTAGTCTTGGCACAACTGGTAAATGTTGTTGTCATATGATTAGGAGGTCGTAAATTTGAATTGTGGAAACAACATCTTGTAAGACCGAGTACAATTGACCCTAATTAGTAGTATGATTCTTCTAGTAAAGTTGTTCTCATGTGACTAAGAGGTCACGAGTTTGAACTATGCTTTAAAACATCTTATAAGATTTAGTACAATAGACCCTAGCCAGTAGTATAATTCTTCTGATAAAATTGTTGTCATGTGAGACAAAGTACAATAGTATGTTCTTCTCCAGACCTCACGTATAGCGGGATCTTAGTGTAGGATAGTGGACTGTTTTTTTTCTTTTGACTTATGATAACATCATTTTAATATCCTATCTTTTTTTCTTTTTTACTCGACCAATCAAGATGATAGATCAATATTATCCAATATTCCATACCGTACAATAAAACCACACAAAGCATTCAATAAGTGCACATTATTTCCATCTTTTACCTTATTATTGTTCTTTAGTAGTCCCCCCTTTTGTCATATTGCATCCATTGAGCCTGGAAAATTTGGTGAAAGAAAAAAAAAAGTCACCTACGTCATGCTTTATCTTCGAATATTGACGATGAGATTTTATATAAAAATGCCGTTTTTTTTCAAAAATAAATATTCATTATCAACTTGAAGAAATAAAATTGGAACGATACAAAAAGATAAATAAATTGCGGCTTGATAGAGATTGGAGAAATTCATAGCAAATGGGGAAATGTAGATACTAATAGTATTAGTATCATTTTTGTCTCAATCTTAGTTATATATCAATGATAAAGACGCCAATTTTGTATTAAGATACACATTTTGTTTTTAGTTAAAGATAAAGACATTTTATGCATGCAGGGTCCACGCAAATAATACATGTATTTCGTTAATTATAAATCTATTCATTACTTTTTGACTTTTTGTTATGTTTCACTTGAGCCGAAGTCTATCGAAAATAATTCCTCCATCTTCATAAAAGAAAAATAAAGTTGCATACGTATCCACTTGTGAAAATACACAGAATATATTATTGTTGTTGTTATCTACGCTTCCACTATCAAACTGTGTGACATGTTTTTGGTCTCAAAAATATTTTACGTGACTTGATTTTTTATTTGTTATAATGATCACATTAGGATGCATCTCCATTATTTTACGGAATAATCAATTTAAACACTTAAAAAGGGACACTTTCATTTAATAATGTATATGTTTCGACAGTTAAACATGATAAAGATAGTGATGTTAATTTTGCAAGATTTCCTCTAATGATGTCTTTCAACATCTTTTAAAATTAAAATTATCTCTTTATTTTTGTCTTTAAATATATTTTGGAACTACTATAATATAGGATCATAATATTACTTTGCAATCCTATTTTCACTTAAATCTCAACTTTGTTGTAACCAATTGAGCCGACCAAATTAAAACATGTAAATTATCAAATCCCAAATAAACCAAATTAGGAAGCTTTTTAAAATCAATCAAATAGGCTAGATGTGGTAGAATCCTAAGCTCGATGTTCAAATCTTAAATTCATTTCTATTATGATAAACTAATTGATAGCTAGTGGCAGGATAACTTAAATTCTGACAAGAAGATTCACCTATACTTATACTTCTCTATTATCAAAGTATACCAAAATTTATGTACATACAAAAAAAATATTGTTTTCTTATTTGACGAGTATATATAATTTTTCGATGAAGACGATTCAATTTCACTCTATCTATATATTTGTTGGAGGAAAAGAAGATCAAGTAATTCATGATGATGTACCTATTTATAGGGAAGATAACACGCATAGCTTGTACTAGTATATTTATGTAGAATCATAAACGGATCCCACTAAATATATATATCTTCAACATTTGAATCATACATTGCCAAGAAGAAAACTCTAATTATGGAAATTTCATCTATGAATTAAAATGTGTAACCGTTTCTTAAGAAAATATATATCTGAACATGTTATTTTTTTCGTTTCAATTTGTTTATTTAATTTTGAGTTGACACATATTTGAGAAAGTAAATAAGATTTTTGAATTTTGTAGTCTTAAATTTAAAATATATAAATAATGTACCAAAATATCCTTCATCTTATGGTCTTAAACATATCACGTGTAAAGTTGAAATTAAAGAGTTGTCAAATTAAAAAGAGAGAAAACCAATATTCTTTTTTAAATAAATTTAAAATAATATTAAATATGACAAATAAATTAAAACAAATGAATTATCTTTTCAAAATGATCTAATAAGAAAATAATATCAAACCAAGTGAAACAAAAAAGAGTGCATGGTTACGTTGTTATAGACTATATATATAATTTCATAATCATGTTATTTTACTCAAAGTAAATTCAACATTGAGAAGATTAATTTATACTATAATATTTTTACATTGCTTGTCAATCTATACACTTTTTATTTTAAATTCGAATTTATATAACTAGTCATTTCTATTAAAAATAGACACCTTTTTATCAATATGTCTACTTCATATAAATAATATTTCTAAAATTTTAATGTCTATGCTTTAAAGATACTTCATAAATGTTTTTCCGATGATAATTAAGTCCCATGTCAATAAAAAGAATATTGTCAAATAAGTAAAATCCAAAAAGTGATCATTTGATATAATTTGTTGGGTCCGTGCTGACACAGGGAGCTTTGCATCTAGTACATTTATGTATATATCGTGTTGAATGTTGGTGATAGAAGGATCTTGGTGGGAATCGTATAGAAATCTTGGTGGGAATCGTATAAAATCTGCTTTTGTATAGGTATATATATATAGTACCTATTTTATTTATAGAGTAGCATATAATAATTAAATATGCTTCATGCATGCAGCAACTTTTGCTTTTGGAATAGTGAGAATCCACGATGCACCTAGTTAATAAGAAGTAGGAACAGAGCTAACAAGGATTCGGGGTTCATTTGAAGTTTGATAAAAAACAAAGTATCGTTTTTATATATATAATTAAAGTTATTTTATATGTATATATATTAGTGTAGAACTTTCTTAAACATTTTCATATGTTGATATTATATTTTGTATTTTGAATTTTTTTAATAAAAAATTATGACTACGCCAATGTCTAACTTAAAAGTTATATATAGGTTAAAACTCATGTCCAAATCTTTCATCAACAATATAATGTATGGTATTCGCCTTTTATTTGTCCCTTAATCCAACAAATGAAGTTGGTTATAGAGTTTAATTTTCCTTAACCTCAATTTTTTTTCATAATCATTTATTATCCAAAATAGTCATTCTTCTAAGGAAAGAAAAATCCAGAAAGACTTTGGGTGCGCTTGGCATGTGATTTTCTCATGTTTGTATTTATCTAAATATTTTTATTTTAGAAAAATAAATTTCTTAAAAATGAAATGACTTCTATTATAAAAATAGGAAAAATAAGTTTCATAAGTTATTTTTCATATTAATTGTCTCCTCCCCACCCTCCAACACGTCCGATTCCTTGACAATTCTATCTCCAAGCCTCCACCTTCCACCCCTATTGGGTTTTGTCAGATTTATAAATACTTTTGAGATAATATTACTTATTTATCAAACATTAAAAATAAATAAAAAATTTACTTCTTT